CCTATTTGTTTCTCTCCCCTTCTGTATCAATTTTGCGTTCTTATTTCTATAGAAAAGTGACTATGCACCACAGTGGATACACCATATGCCGCAACTCATGGCACAGAGAAGTCTTGCCTAAGCACATTGGCACACATGCATTACGACGGATCATCCACAAGTAATAATGTGTGGTACAAAACCTGCCCTTTCGATTTTCTTCCTCTTTCCATATTCGGGTGACCCAACTTCACTTCGGATTCGCATCTAGCTGAAATTACAACCAAACACACCCATTAAACCTTTCTGGCCACACACCTCACTTAATAAACTCAATTACTCTAATCAAACTTAGTTAATTAGGTTTTAAAATTTAAGGATGTTACAAGATGACATAAATTTCCATATCAATACCACAGACACAAAATTGTGTAGCGGATGCATTAGGTAAAGAAGGTCTCCATTTTTCTTCTTTGCTTGCGATGATTCCATGTTATTTACCAGACCTTGTTTCTAGAGAGTCTCTAGAATCTCCGTATTATTCAATTTAGTTTCTACCTTTAGCCCCCTCTTGTCGCCAAAAAAAAAAACATTTGAAAGCCTTTTTGATATATAACTAATATATTTTTATTATCAATATCATTATTTAATATTAAGTTATTAGTATTACTTCACCGTTATATTTAAAAGTACAAAGGATATTTTGAATTTCAAAAACATTTTTTTTTATATTGAGAATGATAGTGAGGAACAACATGGTAGATTTTTTATAAATTGCCATATATGTTTATAGTTTATCCCGTACTTTTCTAAATCTGTGATGTTTATTCCCGTGCTTTATTTAACCTTGCATTGTTTGGAGCCCTAAATCATTTTTCTTCTTGGCCAAAGAGCCATAAAAAAAAGGAAAAAAAAAAAGAAGAGAGAAGAGACTGAGAAGCATATAAAGTTAACGAACAACAGATGATGATGTAGTGGATGAATTAACATGGATATTTTATTATGGAATGGGTTTGGGATAAAGAACGGATTTATTTGGCCGAAAAAAAAAATTCTTAATCAATTATTTTCTTCCATTTCCTGTGATCAGAAAGAGCAAATGCCATTATTTCATTAATTTTGATATCATTTAATTTATATAAATGGATCCGACTTTGAGGGACAGTCTATACTAGAAGCTCATACAACCAAATTTTTCCAAAGCCCGTTCTTCTCTGCATCTTGATGCAAGTAATTAATCCAAGTAACAATATCTCTCCAAATTGGTTTAGAACAGAAATGGACCCTTAGCACATCCTCATTTATTGTCAAATTTCTCATGCATCAATACTTTTTAGCTTGGGAGAATTAATATCAAAGTTCTAAATTTTGACCAACAATCTAACTCAATTCCTATGGATTTAATTATTTAAAAATTAATTGATCAGTAACAAGTTAATGTTCAAGAGATAACTATATGGTTTTATTTTTTATTCATTTATAGTTTTATTTTTTAAAATATAGGTACTGATTTTTTTTTATTTCTTATAGACATTCTCTTATTGAAGACAATCTTATTCAATGCATGTTTAAATACTAAATGTAAGCACATCTTTCAAAAATAATTTCAAAAATGATTCAAATTTTGGTTCATTAAAAGATTAATATTTTCTACTAAGTCAATTCTGTTGATATAAAAATTAATATTTTAAGTGGTTAAAATTATAGTAATTGAGTAGTCAAATCAAATCAAAATTATAGAGATTAAAATAGATAAAATTTAAGAAGTAATTTTTTATTAAATCAAAATTATAGTGATTAAAATTTATTAGATTATAGGGAGAATTATAATAAAGACTCATTGGCTACATTTATTTAAATTCAAATCTCTAAATTTTCTAAAATTACAATGTAATTTAGGGGTATTAATTTAATATTAAATTTTTTAAAAAATAATAAATTTGCGTCTCATTTAAATTAATATCAGAATTTTCTTGCTTTATTTGTTCATTATTCTACTTTACTTTTTAATTTACTTACAAAATAATGTTAATTATCCTATTTAACTTGTTTTTATTTTAGATGTTGAATCATCTTAAGATAACTTATTGATTCTTATATTGTATGTTGTTTATTTATTTATGAACTATTATTCAATGCTCCACTTTACTTGTTCATTGTTAGACTTTCATTTGATTTCATTCTAAGAAAATAATTAAGTGAAATAGGATAATTAACAACATTTTATAAATAATAAATAAGTGAAATAAGATAGTTTTGATATTAATTTAATGAAAAATAATTTTATCATTTTTTAAAAAATTTAATATTAAATAAATATTCTTAAAATACAATAAAATTTTAAAAATTTAAGAACTTTAAATTTAAATAAATGTGATTAAAGAATCATTTTACCCCACCTGGGTCAAAAGTTGTTTTGCCGTTTCAGCAAAGGCCGACTGATGCAAAAGGCTTGGTACTTTCGTTGCTGATCATGTCGAGGTGGGACTTTTATTTTATTGCTAGGCAGTAGGCACAGGCACTACACAAGCTATGCCATAGGCATAAAGTGAGAGGGATGTATTATAAAAAAATAATAATAATAATGAGTAGCTCATAAACATTCCTAGTGCTACACGCCAAGTACTTTCGCCACATAGCATGTGTTGCCCTGGCTAGCACCCATAACCCATTATTCATGAATCATGACACGTATTGTACTATATGCTTATTCTAAATAAAGTTATATAGAATTATATATAGGTGAATCAGCGGAGAAACCTGATGATATATCATGCTTATCCTTTTCCTCCTAACTTCCTCTGCCTTTCGCGTCCACCACGGATTATTAATTCCTCACAAACAAGCTGCTCTTCTTCTTCTTCGCCCTTCTTGTGTTCAATCTTGGCTTGCTGTCAAAATTCATATCAGGGTTTTACTTCTCCAGTATAGAGAATGATTGTTGAGGACAACGATGCATATCAGCCTCCATGAAAGCTTCTCCAGAGTCCATCTTCAGATATCCAGTAGTACTAGTGCTCACTTCTCGTAAGTCTGTCAATATTATCAGATCAACCTCAGTTGATCTCTCTCGTGTATTCCTTTTCAGATGATGAATCCTGTGTATCAGATAGCAAGTAAGTTTCAGCATATCATACTCTGTATAATAATACCAATAAGAATGATCCAGCTATAGCAGTTTATTGTCGCCCTACATATTTAAGCTTCATTAGTATGTTAGATTGTCATCTATTATTGTTGAAGTGATGGTAGGCATAATGTGTACTTTTTTTTTAACGATTAAATGTCAGAGAAGCTAGCAGATATTATTAGATAGAATACTTTGTATGAAAGAACTTGAACTACCTGATGATCAATTAGACATGCAGCCTAATCCTAAATTAATATGGTATAGTACATTCTATGTGAATAATAAAAGGATCAAAGGCAACTTATATCTGTATTCGTGGACCTTCTTCTAATAGAGTAAAAAGATTAATTCTCCGTGATGAATAACTGAGCTTGGTAATTAGCTGATACTTAGTAGTTGATATGAGAGGAAGAAAGGTTTGAATGAGAAAAGGAAAGTGAAGAAGTGGGTCAGGTATCTTGGTTGATATGAGAGGAAGAAAGGTTTTAAAAAGATTCCAAGTGCTCGAGCTTGTCTTGATTGAAACAATATGTGTGGTTCTCATTGCTATTTTGTACAGATTTGCAATATGTTGGAGGAAACTGAGCAACTTTGTTGTCACACGACTTGTAATCTTGCCAGCCATTAAAATCCCTCCTATTCAGGAAAATATACAATGACCCCTTGAATCATTTTACTGGCGATAGGACCATTTCGGCCCCAAATTATTTGACCAATTATTGGCTCCCATAAGCCCACATTTAATCTTCACCAAACTGTTCGACCACTTTTTTTCACCACACTCGTGGAGAAATACAATATGCAGGAATCATTCAACCAAAGGACCTAAATTCTTGTAAAACTAATTCGTAATCATTTTTTACGATTACCAAATTTAACTGGATACTATCAAATTTTAAAATAATTACTACTAAATTTTATAGGATAAATGATTAAATTACCCCCTAAATTTTATATCTAATAACACTGTAGACCTAAATTTATTTATTGTATAAATTGTCCTTTTAACTTTTAAAAACATTGCAATATAACTTTTATTATTAACAAAGTTAACTTTAACAGTTAATTGATTAAAAAAATATTAAAAAATGACCTAAAAAATTACCAAAAATTTTGGGTCATTTTTCACAATTTTTTAGGTCATTGTTTGTAATTTTTTTGATCATTTTTTAATTTGTGATGTTCTTATTGATCTTTTTTTATATCATTTTTTATTTTTTTTATCAACTAATGATCAAAGTTAACTTTTGTTAATATCAAAAATCAGATTATATTATTTTTAAAAGTTAAATAAATAATTTGCACAATAAATATATTAAATGTTTATGGTGCTATTTAACCAAAAATTTATGGGATAATTTATTTATTTACCCAAATTTTATAAAAGTTACTGCTTAAGATTTTTTTTAAAAAAATAATATCCTATCTTTCCCTTCACTCTATTATTAGTATAAAAATGTTTAAATGAGTGGAGGCTTGAGAATTCATCTAAGTTAAAACATGTCTTTAGACTTTAAAAAATACTAATAGAAATAATTACTGATCATGTATCAATAAAATTTTTAGACAACAAAATTTTATACCACATTCTCATAAAGTATGTATTAAATACTTATTAACTAGATTAACTTTTATTAATCCTTTCACTTTCTTTGATTTTCCTTTCACTTAAAAGGCTGTCGATTTATTGTGACTTAGCCCCGATGCAAGTTAAGTAGTCTGTTTGTTTGCTATGCCTAGGCCCTGATCCGTCATTAAGAGGGCCTCTATCACTGTATTCATTTGAGAGAATTAATCCTTAAAACGGCTCAATGATCTGTCTCTCTCTCTCTCTCTCTCTCTCACAACAAAGGAAATAAAATTCTTGAAAATTGGAAGCAATTGACACAGCTTGTTCGTTAAATTTTTTATTTACATTTGAAACTACTAAAGTATACAATGAATGGATGCGACCTGAGCATCCAATGGAGATTGAATTTTAATTTTCCCATCACATTTGTGACTATTCACATGCTAGTTTAGTGTCAAAGCTAGTCAAGCATATGGCAAAAGCCTGGAATGCCGACAGGGGATATCGATAGTCCATGGTGAACAAATCCTTGCCTACCTTGCCAAACTGAAGAATAACCTTGTCGTGATCTGCCGGGCCACGCTGTGCCGGCATTGGAGCACCGGCTGCGGGATGCACAGCGGCAATCAGCTGGAAATTCTTGACGGAGGCCACAGTCACTCTGCCCCGGAAGTTAAGGCACCAACATTGCAGCTGCTCATGCCATCTTGGAGCCTTGTTCTTGAGAATTAGTGGCCTCTCTTTTACCTCGCCACTCTCTCCTTCGTTGCCGGTCCACATGATGTCTGAGAACCTAGAGCTGCTAAAATTGGATGAACTGCGGATCGATTTTGAAAAGGATGTACTCCGGAACGAGTCATCCATGGCACAAGGAAGGAGTTCTGGCTGGCCTGGGACAGTGCCAGCAGGCTCGAGGGCTGATTCTGGGATCGAGCACATGGTGCAGTTCATCTTGCGTGGGCCTCTTGTACCAAGCACATTCAGCTCATAGATGACCTGAGCAATATTGTAGCTGCCGCTGGGGACTTTTGGAGAAACCTTTCTAGAATAGAATCGACGGCTTTGGCTAGGCGAAGGAGGAGGCAGCTGAGCAAAATTATAGGGAGGCTGTGTATCATATATTAGGAATTTGGTGCCCAGAAAATTTGACCTGAAACAAAAGTTTACACTAAACTTATTATGCCTGAAGCGTATTGAAAACAACCGTGCATGCATGAAATGTTAAGACCAGAGGACTTGATAACCTATTTGGATTTCCTTGTATCTTTGTTATCAATTGACGTGTCTAAATTTTTTAAAAAGATTAGCTCATGTAATGCAGGCTGGAAAGATTATACATTTGTCTGTCTGAAAACTTTATCACTTCTTATGTTATTATCCATGAATCTAATAATAAAAACACAAAAATTGTACTTGAGTTTCTTTGCTGAATTTATAAATGAACTTGTTGAGAAAGTAGACAAGGCACATCAGTCGGATTATGCAAAACTATTTCGTCCCAGCTAAGTAGGTCTTAAAATTACATTTAAAAAAAAAAAAAGATGTAGAAAATTAATCAGGGAATCATGCATTCACCAAGCATATTGATAATATACAGTTATACACTTTATTGGCCAGAAACAGCAAATTTTTCTAGCAGGCACAATATATATATATATGTATATGTATGTATTAATATATATAATATTAATACATATCTGCACAATAGATGCTGCTAAAAGCTTCAAATAACAAACAAGTCATGAGTCACAACGATAGCAAACATAGACAGCCGAAATAGCATGTTTGGATTCAGGAGATTGGAATAAAAAGGAAGGGAAATGAATTTTTAATTATTCTTTTAACTTTCGATTTAAAGCTAACATTTTTTTTATTCTGTTCTCATATATTTCTCTGATTCGAACATACTTTGAGGAAATAGATAGTTGATTTAAATCAAAACAATTCAACATGACAAATTCAGTTGCTTTCCCTTGCATTCCTCCCTATCCTAAACACTCCTCAAGGGATGTCAATGTTTGTTACACGTGCAACTAAGAGTCCTTATAAAGTAAAACTCATATCAAAGTGAGACTTTGCTAATAAGTGCTTATTTGGTATAATCCTCAGATGTAAGCATGACCAAACAGACACACACACACAAAAAGAACCAACATTATGAATCCTGACCAAAAGAAAAGAAATGCACAAAATGAATGTCTTTCTACCATTAAAAAAAGATTCCAAATAGTCATACCTCAGCTTCCCAATATAAGTGCTACTAGATCTTGACATGCTATCAGCATTCATGGATATAATGTACTCCCTGCAAGTTGTTCGTCTAGTCCGTTTAGCAGAGAGCAGAAACTTTCCATTCTCAACAAGCAAGGCTGCAAGACCATGATATGGTTTAGAATTCAAAGCACGCCCCAAAAGGCAAGCGATAACTGGAACCATTTTGCCAGAACATGTTCATTGTTAACATAACTGTCAGGTCAAATAACTAGTTTTGCCTAATGGCATTTTGACCTGCCATCATGGCAGACAATTTTAAGCTATTAGAGATTATAGAAACCCTATTCAGCAGCCTTAAGTTAACAATGAGAGTTGGAAAATGGTCCTAGACATGATATGAAAACCTCTAATAACCAAGTGATGACACATGTCTCCATTAAACAGCTCAAACTTTTTAATTGCAATGGCTGTCAATAAAACCAATGTGCAAAGAATATGTTTGGATGCGTGGTGATGGAGGTAAAGTGAAGGATTCATCGAATCCTTTCCCTTGTCTGACAGTTTTCAACTAACACTAAAATATTCCTATGTCCTCCCTCCTTTAAATATTTAAGTGCCCCAATTTAGGAGATTTTGACGGAGACACTTTTCCATAGCAAATGAAAATATATCATCATTTCCCCATCCATTTTCCTTCATTTTTGTTCCCTTCCATTTATTTGAATCCCTTGCCTTCTCTTCCTCTTCCAACTCCCAAACATTCGCTAAATCATGTAATGGATTAACTGACCAAACCATTAGCAAATACAGAGACAAAAGCAAGACGCTGACAATAAAATAGATGAAATTGATGATACAAAAACTCACAATTTGTAAACAATAAAAGCAAGGTTGTTTGCATGAAACTTCCGAGCTTAATACAAAGACTAAATTTCACTAGCTTGTTCAATATGAACATGGAAAACCCAAATGTGGACCAAACCAAAGACCAGATCAGAACTTGGTAATCTAGTTCCAGATTGCATCAAAATAGATAATATATAATTATCATACCTCAAATGACATAAGCTAATTAAGTTTTCAATTGGTCACAAAGCAAGGAGAACATACATATGTGCGCGCGCGCGCGCGCGCGCACACACATCTTTGGCAACATAGTAAGAAAAGAAGCTTACCAGGACTTAGACAAAGAAAGAGGTGGTATGTCAGGTTAGATTTGTCTCTCTTGATGGAACACTGGATCATTCCATCCCGAGGCCCAGGCTACAAGACAAGATCACCAAAAAACATTCGTTCAGACACCTTCCAAAAGAAATGCAATTCTTATCAAATACGTCGTAGGCGTGGTATAAAAGATCACATATATCTCACCTGCTTCAAGGAAACAGGAAAAGTAATTTTCCCACAGAACTCTGGATTGCTTACAATTTCTTTGCACATTTCTCTCCAGGACTTGCACACAGCAGCACATGCGACCACATGCTTACGGGCAGGCCATGTGCTCTCACTTTCTTCCAATCTTTTGATAACATCATGAAGGAGCTCAGGCGGAAGGCTAGCCCAGCGGCTGTTCTGTATCACTGGAGGTTGTTCTGGCACCTCATAGACTGAACTATGTGACTTGCCCCTGTGATGGCCAGGAAGCCTTACCTCAAAACCCCGCCTAGATAAGCTTCCAAAACCATCCCTTACATCACGAACTATACTGCGGAAGGACATTTCCTCAAATACACTGACAGCCCAGAAGTTAATATGTTATCATCAACTTCACTTCAAATTCTAACTCTCCTCTCCAGTTTGCCACAATTCACAGAACCTAGGAGCGTGAAGCACCGCAGATCAAAAATACTTTAATCAGTTGTAGCTTCATTGTTAGGCATCAAGAAAAAACAAGGAAAAAAGACAGCAAGGGAAAAGCACAAATTAAAATATTTAGAATTATTTTTTAAAAAAGTAGATTCTCATAAAAGAAAGCCTCACATGGACCTAAGGGTTAAAGCAGCCTAAAATTGCAGACTTTTGTCAACCACATTGTTTGTGAGGTTCAATCTAAATCTAACCTCTAAAAGCAGCAGTCAAATCGAAACGATATTTTGTATCTCACCGGAAGGATTATGCCCCTAGCAATCTAGATGTAATAATTTCAGCGGCAACAAACATCTATTTTGTTATAGGAAACATTAAGAAAGTGGGATCTCCCTTTACTGAATGTGAACCATCATCATCCTAATCTTGCATTAGCGGAACCTAATTGCCTGATGTGTCAAGTTTTTTTTCTTTTTTTCTTCTTCTCTTTTGCTTTTCGTGTTTGTGGAGTTACAAGACCAAGAACCAATCAAATGAATGTCTCCCACACGCACAGATACAGAAAGGCTCGCCAGCTGAAAGTAATATAACACACCTGAAATCAAGAACTTGAGTGCACCACATGAATAAGAGATATATGTAAAGAACACACAAATATAAGAGCGCTCCACTGCAACCCAGAAATTTTTTTATATAAACCCAAAGTGGTACACACAAATAAGCACAGAATAAGAAGAAAAGTATAAAAACCCAAGAGGGGAATTTCACCAAACCTAGACTTGAAAAATGAAACTATCGGAATCTACAAAGGAAACCCAGAAGATCATGAATCGGTTTCTCGCAATCGGAGCAAGGAAAAACAGGGCCTCGATGTTTTCGAATGAAAATATGAAATTGTGAGGCAAAGGCTAGCAATTTACTTGAGCTCTGCTTCAAAAAGAGCTCATGATCATACTTGATCAAACTCACTCTGCTTCAAGAGGGGTTTATCATGAAAGTGGAGGCTCTCTCAGCCCTACTCCCCCTCTCCCCTCAGTCATAGAGCCGCTGACTATGAAGCCACAGCGCCTTCATTGAATCCATCCAACCCTGAAGTGGAAACCAACGTAAACAGAACAAACTGCTTAATTTCTTTTCTTAATGATAACTATAAATATAAATTCAATGAATTTATAATTTATAATCTTTTCGTTGATTTTCGTTCTGTGTAACTGTTCTGGCTGGTTAGCCTGGTATCCCGTGATAAATTTACGATTTTGCCCTTCAAGGTTGACTTTTTTTTAAAACATCCGCGTCGACGCGTCACTGATCTGACCGGCGCGTCACGGGCTTCCTCGGTCCAGTTCACCCTTACCTGAGGACGGTGGACGTTGGATCGTGCTGAGAGGTGCATTACATTAAAATTAATTACAATGAGATTTCATGCAAACAAATTAATTATTATAAAATTTTTAAATTATTTTTTAATATCTATTTTCAGTGTTCAAAATCACAAGATATTTAAGGGAATATTTTAATTAAAATTTTTTATCAATCAAATTTTCTAATTAAAGGTAATTTTTTAAAAAATTAATTAAATTTTAAAATATTTAAATATCTTATAATTTTTAAAAAATTACTTTTTTAAAAAAAATCTTATACTCCCTCCGTTCAAAAATTTAAAGTATTTTTTGAAGAGTGGGATGTTAAAAAATATAAGGTATTTTTAATCTTTCGAGATGTAATTATTATATTTTTTTCTAAATGTGTCCCAATTGATAATAATTTTATATTTATTATAGAATATTTAATAAGAGTAAATATGAAAAGATAGGATTAATTAAAAAGTAAATAACTATTTTATTGAGAGGTGAGATTTGATTAAAAATGTCTTATATTTTTTAACAGAGAGAGTATTTTTTAAAGGAGAGAATGTATATTAAGTACACTCAATTATAGGATCGTTATTTTCTTGTCTCTACTCTCTTCAATCATGTTTTTATTTTTTTCATTAGAAATAATTTTATTTAAGACACAATTAAATTAAATATAATTATATATTTTAATAAAAATTTTAATTTTAATTTATCATGTTATAAAAAATTAATTCCTTTAATTAGATTCAACCCTATTAATAATAATTCAACTTATTTTGTTTTGAGAGAATTTTATTAAAATTTCACATAAAAAAATTAATTATTATAATATTTATTAATTATCAATATAATTTAATTTAATTATTCATAAATATTATAATAATTAATTTTTTATGTGAAATTTAATTATAATTTTTCCTTTTGTTTTCCACTCAAATCTTTCTTCACTCTGGGCAACTGTGTCATTTTTTAGGCCTCTAAATCTAGAATCTAATAATCATGGGCTCAGAAAATGGCCATCATATGAGCTTCAGTTCATGATTCGCGAAGAATAAAGCCCAAGCCCATCAACGAAGAGTATAAAGCGGACTGAATGGATGAAGTCGCCTGCTCCTCAGTTAAACCCTTGCCTGCCTCCCTGCATCATGTTGCTTCGTCGCCGCCGCCTCTGGTCTATGATTTCTCTATTTCTCCCACCATCTTTATATGTGACTGATTTATTTTTATTTTTTTTAGCGCTCCAATTTCTTTCGTTTAGTCTTACTCCCCCCCCCCCCCCGGGGGTTTCCTCCCTAAATTGAAGCCCAATGATGCACAAATCGACCTCCATTGAGCAGTTTTCTGCGGTTCCAGTTCTTTACTTGCCTTCTCTTGCCGCTGCGATTCTCTCTCTCTCTCTCTCTTTCTTTCCTTCTTTCTCTTCTCACACACACACGCACGCACACACGTTTTGCGGTGGGTTTTGAAGGCATTTGATGAACGCCGCTAGCTTTAAACTGTGAATGATTCATCAAAGCTATGAGATCTGAGGGCATTTAGTGTGATTTATACATTTGTGATTTTTTGAGTTCTATTTGACATCAGCTTGTTCATTTGTTGTTTTTAGGCTTGTTTTATGATTGTTTTGAAAGTCCGAATTGGAGTGGATGATGTTGCATCCGTGCTCTGAGCGGTTTATTTCTTTCCTTCTCTCTCTCTCTCTCTCTCTCTCTCTCTCTCTGTTTTTTTTTTTGGGTGCACTGTTGATGGAAATGCAGCCTAGAAAGCTATTTCTAACCTCCCCTTGCAAGTTCTGTCAGCTACATGTAAGCCACTTACATTACATATTTACTTATTCACAATGTGCTAACTACACTTTAATACTATTCTTTTGGTAATTAATCAATTCCCTTTTGATGCTATTTTGTCTTTGTTTCCATGGTCGGATTACATTCTGTGAGGCAGCTTCCTACTTTAATGGATGTTAATTAACAACCTCTAGGGCTTGTTAACTAATCTTTCATGGCTTGTTGGGGAGACTGGAGAGTGGGTATTGCATAAACCATTGTTATGATTGTCTAGAGGAAATAGTTAGGACGGCATTCCCAAACCCTCCTCCACAACATAACTCCATTCTTCAACTATCTTTCTGATTACTCTTATTATATCCTGGATAGGTTCAATGATTCTTTTTGTTGTTGTTTTTGTTTTTCAATTTTATTTCCGACAATTCAATTTTTTATTTATAATTCCTACCATGCTAACAAGATCATCTCCTTCAAACGATTTTACATTCTGCTATTTTCCTATTGAACATCATAATTGTTGATTCTAATGTCTTCCTTTTGTCAATGGTTAGCTGTTGAACTCTCTGCATTGACATCAAGATAATCTGAGGTGGGTATGCCCTTATAAAAGAAACCAGTGAGATTCTGAAATACGAGAGCTTTGTTGGATCTCTGCATTTGTGGTTGTGGCAACCTTGATTCTAGAATGTATTCATGTTTTCTATTTGCATTAATTTCTTTACTTGCTCTTCCATTTTTCTATTGGCTCTGATGCCCAGTGATGCACGAATTAAACCATATTGAGCAATTTTCAATGGTTTCAGTTCTCCATTTGTCTATCCGGGCCACTGCTTTCTCTCTCTCTCTCTCTCTCTCTCTCTCTATCTATCTATCTATCTATACTCACACGCACACACTCACTCACTGTTTTGTGGTGGTTTGTGAAGGCATTTGATGAACGGCGCTGTTGTTAAATTGTGGATGATCAATCAAAGCTATGAGATCTGAGGGCATTTTTGTTTTTTGGTTGTGTTTGATGTTACTGTGTATTTGTTGTTTTGGGGCTTCTTTTTTGATTGTTTTAGAGGTTACAAGTTGTATGAATGGTGATAAGGGCACTGCGCTTTGAGCATTGAAATTCACAACCTTGACGGTTTTTCATGACTCCTTCTGCTATCTGTTAAGCTGCACGACTCATTCAACCTATCAAGTTACATGCATGTAATTATAATGGGATTTTCGTACATTGATGATTGGTATCATTTAGTTTCACATTGTACATCGTGCTCTTACTTCAGGACGGTATCTAGTATGTTATATTTGCATCTGTCCCATGGTGGAGTTGACATTCTGTATGACAGTATCAACCACCATGGCTATTAGTTTTTTAGTTCAGTATAGAGGCACAAACCATTCTTTGGACTTTTGGATGGTTATAAATGAGACGCTGCAGATGTGAACTGGGATGGCCTTTTAAGCCTGCTCACAGCCCATTTTCCAACCATTTCCGTTTGGGGATTTTGGTCCTCTTTTGTGCCTCTTTTTTCTCCCCAAGAAAACAAAAACATACTGCTTTATTTCAGTGCTTTTATGTTTCTTGTTTTACTTTCCAGCAAGGTTGATCTAGAAATTTTATTTTCCAGACCCATTCTATTACTAATGACATTGTTTCTTTCATATCGAAAACTAGATTCTGATCTTTTTTGCTTGAAGAAATATTTCATCGATCTATTTTCCTGTTAAACCCTCAGGCCCTTAGCATCATGGGGCAAGAGTCAATTAATTGTCTTTGAACAGTCGCCTTTGACTCCCCCTTTTTGTATTCTGACCTAAAAAAAAAGTTAAAATATATTTTTAATCCTTTAGCTTTATATAAGGTTTTAACTTGATTTTTTAATTTTATAAAATATTTTTTTAATCTTTTAATTCTAATTTAGTTTTAGATGATTATTTTTTGTATTAATCATTATTATTTTAAAAAATTAAATTTAATATATCAATATTTAAAAATATTTTGTTAATATTTAAAAGTTTAATGTAAAAATTTATTGTGATAAAATTAACAATATTAAGATCAAAGGATTAAAAAGATATTTTATGAAGTTAAAGAATTAAAATAAAATTTTGTATAAAGTTAAAAATTAAAAGTATATTTTAGTTAAAAAAAAGAAAGAAAGAAAACAAAAAATCGTGATAATGAGTGAACAAATGGTGGTAAGGTTGGAAAAATATTTCTTTCCCAGGTCAAGTTAACGGGTTAACTAGTTCTTCACGGTTTTAGTGTTATGGTTCTATCTTACCCCTTTTATATCAAAGACTGAAGAAGGTAGATGCTGTGTTATCCAATTATTCATCCATTTCAGATATAGAATTATTTTTCAAATAATATTTGTTTAACATTAAAAAATTATACATAGCCTTTATAAAAATTTGGCCCCACAATGTTATCCTTGCTGGCTCCGTCCCTGGGTACATGTTTGTTCAACGTCGATGACATTTATCGATCATACTGGTCCATGAAGACAGTGCCATTTCAGATGGAAAGGCGTGGAAGGGGGAAAAAAAGGCCATGGTCTCCCATGCATCTTTCCAATATATGTACTGTGACCAAGAATAATCAAGAAGTATCTCTTTTCTTGTTCTTTTTTTATTAAATGTGTTTTCTAAACTTAAAAATATATAGTATAACTCTTCACAGATCACATTGTTATTCAAGTCATTGCATTTACACCTATATATAGTACTATGATTTTGATATCTAAAACACTTAAAAAAAAAACACTGATTTAATACCTTGATTATACCTCTGTGAATTGTGATAGTTTGTTGACCAGGTTAACTAGATACTAAAATCACATCCACAAGGCAAACCCTTGATCTCAGTGATATGAGATATAGATGTGATGGATGGTTTGAAAAATCATTAATAAATTTATTAATGAGAATCAATTAACCTTCCTCTTAAAACAATGGCCTGATATTACCCTCTAAAACATGAGCTTTAGTAAAAGGGTTGAAATTCGGGCTTCAATGTTGTACCACCAAACAATGACCCAATGTTAACCAAGGGCCTTGTTGGCAAATTTTTGACAAAGATCCTCGCTATTTGTCAAATAAAGTCTTTGTTTTCAAAGTCTATTAGCTCAAAATTATGGGTGCCTCATATTCTAGCCAATTTTTCCTTCAACTCAGGCAGTCTCATTAGCTTTCCAAGGAGAGTGAGGATAAGAGAATACTTCCAAGCTTTGCACAGTTCTTTTAGTCTCTTGTTGGGCACTTTAAGAGTTAGGAGGCTATCAATAATCTTCTATTGTTCTGCAATCCATTTTGGTGCATTTCTAGTTTCCTCTTGCAACCATTCTTTGAACTGATCATCAAAATTCCATTCTATTATAGTAATTCTTTACCCAATAGTTTGGCTTTGTATGAGATTTGCTTGGGACGTTCAGGTTCTGTCTCTTTCTTCTCGTTCTTTCCTTCAATGCTTTTTGCCATAACCACATCTTGTTCTACTACTTCTGATTTGCCCTTCATGACTACGTCATCATCCAGTTTATTGGTGATTCGCTGGACGGCCTCCTCTTATGACGAACAGCTCCATCACTGTCATCACCTAGAATGGTAGAGCTAGTCCAACCACTAACCCTAGCAGACACTCACTCACTAACTTTCTCACTCATTCATACACGCTTGCTAAAATTGAACCACTTTCAACTTTCAAGTTTTCATTCAATTGTTTCTTTTAAATAAGAGAATTAGCCCTTTTGTTCACAACATCATTTATTTGGGACACCACGATCAACTATCAAGAAAGGTATTATGAATGGTAATAGACTAATGTCAGCGACCAGAACGACTTAGCATACAGTGGACAACAGCTAGTACTATAGTACGATTGAAGTTTAAGACATGACTAATGAATAGAGGTTGCCTTAGTTTGAGGGCAGTCTGAGACATGTCTCGTTCAACATTAATTGCCTTAATTAAAGTAGCTACGTTTTGTTGCTTTCTCTTCTTGTGTACCCCCACCATATTGCAAAGGGCACCATTCATCAGGTGGTAGCTAACCAAATGGTTCACATTACATTCTACCATATTGAACTTAATTAACCTTGAAAACACCAAATCTATAACTTACATTTCAACAAACCATGGATGGGTTATTTGAATATCGTTGAGTTGAATCATAAAACATGACGGGATAATTATGCAATTTTTTACTTTATATAAATTTCCTTTGAAAAAACATACATCTTTCTTAAATTTTCCTTGAGATTGTATAAAATCTGTGTTTTAAAAAATTATCATTAATATACACCAGTGCATTGAAAAAAAAAAATCAAAGTTAGAGAATGCACACAATAAAAATGCATGGGATTCATAAAGCAAATTGAAGGTCAGAACACTTTTGTTAAATGAAAATGTAAAGTTATATTAATAATCACTTATATACATCATGCAATCAAAAGCTAACCCAAAAAATAAAAAATCATAGGAGTTTCTTTGATCATTCATCACCTCCATACATTCATGTAAGCAATTTATCAAAGGTACAAAAATAAGACGAATATAGTTTGCTTTATGTGAAGAGCGAAGACACTTTGCTGAACATCAAGTGGATATGTGAGTTGTGGAGGAGGAAACATACTTGAATGAGTTGCACTGGATGTTAGGACATATACAAGAATGGAGTCATGGACTCGAACTTTGTTTTAATTCACACAACAAACGCACACACATGTCACGTACTTAAAAATAAGCAACACATAAATATGGAATCAAACTAACTCAAGGCTTATTATAATATTAAGTCAGTCACAATGGAGCTACAGAACTTAAAGAAAGAAGAGTTAGAAAAGGGGAAAAGGGACAACAGAAAGAAGGTTCAAAGAGGAGTGAGACATATCATATCAAACTCATACCGCTTATTGGGCACAAACCCACCCTTACATAACGTCCCTAGTTCGCTAGTCTCTCAACTTCCATGTGACACGCTTGGAACGGTTACTCTTTCTCAAAATAGTGGGTCTATTGCCAACCATGTGAACGGAGCTATTTCCCTCCCCATTTCTAGCAGTGTGTCAACCTGAGACCATTCCACGTGAACCACTAGTGGCCAAATCTGATCCATCACTTGCGATCGGCCCATTCATGATAACACACTCATAGAGAATAGGGCAGAGGAAGGAAGTTTGAATGTAAGAATGAAGCATGAAAAATGAGAAGCTGGTTCCTCATATAGCTTTCATTCATAAAGCACAAAGTGACAATGTGTGAAATAAGATTAGATAATTATTCATTTCCTTATTCAAAATGGGACCCAGCTTCTCTCTATTTTTTTCTCTCTCCACTTCCTCTTCACTTTTCATCTCAACCATTGGATTCATTTTTGAACATTTAAAATTTAATATTTCATAAAATTATTATTATATTCATTTTTTATAAAGTTTTATATTTTAATAATAATTTATGAAATATCAAATCTCAACCATTCAAAAATGAATCCAACAGTTGAGATGGGAAGTGGAGAGGGAAAAAAATAGAGAGAAGCCAAGTCCTTCAAAATGATGGGAGAAAATCACATTGAGAACTTGAGAAAATCGCACACAAAGGCCTCGATTTTCTCATATTTTTTGATAAAGCCCTATTCTATAATTGAGCTTTTATTTGAACATGATCTATCAATGGTGGACTCGGCTGAATGGCCAATGGGTGGATTAAATAACAACACTAATTTTTACGAAAGATTATTTATTTTTTAAAATTATAGTGAAATATATAAAAATATTGAAGGGATAAAATAAAGAGGTGCATAATCAAAAAGGAAATTACATCAAACTAAAGAGCAACTCATGGAGGTCAATATCCTAATCTTAAGTGGCATGTACATGACAAGCAAAAGGTCCAAATTTAAGGACTATGTGTCATGATTAATTAGATTTTTATTCATTCATTTTTGTGTATTATCTATTTAAATAAGATTTTTTTTTGGATTTGGAATATTTTATCTGTTAAGTTTAAGTCTTATTAGTTTGTAAAGTCTATTAGATACATCACTTTAGATATATGAGGTGTCAAATAATAATCTCAAACATATAATTATATCTTTGAATTAGTTTATATGAGATGCCTCCTTGTCTTTAGAATATTTTAAAATGATTTTTTTTTTATGTTTAGAGTTCAGAATTTTTTTCAATTTAAGGGGCAAGTTGCATTTATTTATTTTTTTCTTATTGAGCTTATTTGAAATTTTTGTACCTGTGGCTTCTTTATTCTTAATAGAATACTTCTAGGTTATAAGTGTCTCAACAATTTTTGTTGTGGTTGTTATTAACTAAGGATCTAGAAACAAGTTTTTTTAGATTGTGTTTGGACGGATGAGATATAATTTGGGTTGAAAATTTAAATTTAAAATATTATATTTAAAATCTCACATTTAAAATTCATAGATTTTAAAATTTTTATTTAAATGATATAAAAAAATTTTAAATTATAATATTAAAATTTTTTATTTAAATCTTAAATAAAATTTTAAATTTGAATTAAAAGGTATCTTAGATGACATTGGAATTGGCTTAAATA